GGAGGCTAAATTGAACAACTACATTTTCGTAATAGTATGGGGAAACGCACCGAGATGTCGAAACGTAATGTCGTAAGTTGATCGGCGATTCTCTGGCATAGGAATTTGGCTAAACTTTTTTTGTTAACGGTTACCTATTTATTAATACTTTTCACATAAACTCACATAACAACACATTATGTATCTTTTATTAATGTTTGACATAAACAAATTTGTTGATCGTCATTTGTCTTAGAGTTCCGTGTACCAAGGGACATAATCCAAGATGGCGATCTCTCAGAATCGTCGATCTTTTCCTGAAAAAAACTTGATTTTTTCTATACCTGTGTATTTTACGCACCCCCCACTTTGGGTATTAAATTTCTGAAAAAAAAGTGCGCAAATTACATGGGTTTTTACGGTAGTAACTTTTGCAAACTGCTTCAAGTGAGAAATTATGAACGGTTATGACCCAATCCCATCACTTTTTGGAATAGGCATTTTTCTATGGCATTGGAGTTTGCTAACTTGATTATATTACAGGTGTTAATAGATATAGCATAGCACAGATATATTAAATTTTTTAAGATATCATATACCTTCTGGTCATCTGTCGGGTAAAGCTGAAACAAACATGAGAACATTTAAGAAACAAGTTACTAGTAGAGTTAGTCATGTCAGTTTAAAAACTACAGTATTCACACATTTTCCCCGTCATTTTGATGTTATTCTAACTCACTGGATTTACCTGTGACTTTAATGATTACAGAAACGAAGAAGATATTCCTGAGGAGATAGAGGGTATTAGTCAATCGGGTGATGTAGATGATGTGGATGATGTGGATGATGACGATGATGGGGAAGATGAGGATTATGATGAAGATGAAGATGATGATGATGATTGTGAAGATGATGACGATGATGATTGCGAGGACGATGAAGATGAGGAGGAAAAAATGGAGGAAGACCTTGATCTTGAAAACATTAAGATGGACCAGGAGTCTGTGGATCTGTCACCACCAACATGGTTAACTGACTCCGATGATGGAGCAGCTGACCTAATCAGCTCTGAAACCTGTGATTGCTACCATTGTGTGTCCCAGGCTCAGGCAGAACAGATCGTAAGTTGATGATCCTCCTTCCCCATGCAGTTTGTTAGATGATTAAAGAATTCAAAATTGTATTTTAAATAATCTTTGTAGTATTCTTGATTTAGTTTAGCTACCTGAAGTTGTAAGATTTATTTTAATCAAATGCTTCATTATAATGAATTATTGTGATTTCATATGTGTACTCAACTTCACATAAGATGTTTATCAATCAGATTGAATTTGTATTTTATGAATATTTATTTTATCTCTCTATCATTTTAGTATACATAAAATTAATGAACTTCTCATTTTCTTGTTCTTCCGTAGGTAAAAACTGAAGAGAGTCTCTGTCAGTGCTATGTTTGTTTGCGACAAAGAGGTAAAACTGTATCAACGTCTTTGCCAACGCAAATGCCTAGTGTGCCAACACGACCAGGAGAATTCCATTTATATCCACACATACATGGATCAACAGGGCTGCCTCATGGGCTATCAAGCAGGTCCCACATACGGCCGGTACTGCAGCCACAGTTGTACGACCTCCACCTACCCATGAGGCAGCCCAAACCAATCATTCAGCCTAAAGTTCCACTCAAACTGGACTTTGATTCACCTGATGGAATTCATGAACATATTTACCATGCATATGGTGAATGGGACAATACATACGATACAAGAGGCCTGTTACCGAAATATGAACTTGGTAGTGAGTTACTGCCTCCTCCACCCCTTACTAGTAATTTCACTACCAACTTCCTCACTGAGCCTTACACCATGGCCACGCTCATGGGCGTTGATACTGTGTCCACATCCACGCCCAGTACAAGTGCTTTCAAAATGTCCATGAGCAATAGTCATGTACCGGCACCGGCACAGGTGTTTTTGGATAGCACTGGTGCAAAAATGCAAATGTCCACATCCAAAGACTACAACAGTACTCCAATTCTACCAACTATGACAAGTAAAGCTATGTCTCCTCCTTGTACTCGACCAGCCACATTAGGAGGCAACAACAACCAGTCTGTCTTACAACCCCCTCCCTCCTCTGTATCCCTGTCACAGCCTCAAATCCAGCCGCGTCCTCCGGGGTCTGTGCTAGACAAACCTCACTCCCAGCACTGTAAGAGGCACAACAATCTCCTTGGCAAGGCTCTCACCAGCTCCCAGGCACATAACCACACAAGCACTACCACCACCTCAGCTCCAAACAAAGTCTCTCAGGATTTTATACAGACGGCTGCAAGAAACATTCGCGAGGGTGCCAAAGAAGGCATGCAGATGATTCGTCAATTTGCCAGTAGTTTGAATGCAAATGTGAATACTCATACATGTAATCACACATCTTCACGTAATAACATTGGAGGGCATACACACGCAGCCAACTGTACAATGGACCACAACCATGTGACGGCATGTCAGAACTCCATCTCGATGCCTACCACTGTAAACAATGTGAGTGTTGGCACCTCCACTGTGTGTATAGAGCCCGACTGTGATGTCCACTTCGATGACGCCTGTGATAGTGTTAGCGATAGCTGCTCCGAGCAAAGTTCTACCACCTCCAGTTCCAACCAGAAGGAAGGCAAATATTGTGACTGCTGCTATTGTGAATTTTTCGGACATGGTAATGTAAGTAACTTACTCCTTGTAACGCCTTTTCAAGATTACATGCTGATTGACATATTTCTTGCCAAGTATCAAGCTGAAGAAGATGTGTTTGCTAAGAATTGGTTGGCAAGCAGAAAGATGATAGGTGAATTCCTGAAGTCATATTTTAAATGCCAATGGACAATTGGTTTTTCTATGAATCTATATTAAAATCATGTAATGTGATAATCTATTGTCACTGGAGTCCATTTTATCATTTTAATTTCTGAACATCCATATGTCATGATTTTATTCGTTTGTATTTGATTTTACATTTTTCTCTTTTTTTTTGCACTGCTGTGTGAAATAGGCATTGTCAGTGAAGTATATAGCGTTGATTTCTATGTAATTGTAAACATATTATTTCAATATTTGACAGCCTCCTGTAGCTCCTACCAGCAAGAATTACGCAGAAATGAGGGATCGCTTACGTTTACGCCTGAAGAAAAAGGTATTGACCTTGTCAGATCAATCATTGACAAAAAAATTGAGTAGGTAGTGTTACGGGAAATGCAGTATTTAATTGAAGGTTATTATGTATTAAATATAAGGCACTGAGGGTATTTTGATATTGTACAGATGTTATTTAATTATGCAATGTTATGTAATTATGTGATGTTATGTAATTAAAAGGGACCTAGGGTTATGGATCATTGTATGAAATGAAATTATTAGGGACATGAAATTGTTGAAACATTGTGTAGTTGATAGGTATTTAATGTTATAAACCTAGAAATATTAAAGTATTGTAGGGAAAATATGTAATTGTAAAGGACTAATGGTATAAGGACCTTATATATATATATACCTTGTACAGTATAAGGAATGCAATTGAAGGATGAATGAAATAGGAAATGATGATTGATGTAATCAAAATTTGATCAATTTGCCCTTTCCGATTCTAAATATCCATAATTTATATAATTAGTTCAATACTGAACTCAAGTGTCAAATTTATACAATGTAAAGTATGCTTGAATAATCATTTATTTTAATGAATTTGTTATATAAATCAAAAGTGCACAAGAGTTACATGAAATCTATTCATGAACAAAACCTTCTGTATAGTTAATTATATATATTAGAGCTCTGCGACTATCAATCGATGTAAAAACAATATTCTTACTTTTAGTGGTTAATCAGTCCCATAGAATTATATACGGATTATGCAATTGATAATCAATAGGTTTACTACTTCCGATTATCGCTATGATTTTCAACCGATTGCCCATCACTCATTGACGGTATTATGACCTGTATGGATGTTATGTAAGTACATGTATATGGGGATAAGGGAACGTGTATGATGACATTAGGGGAATGTTCTGTTACTATGAAGGAGCAGAGGATTTTCAGATTTTGTAGGGCTGTGAAGTTCCCACTTAGTATATAGGACCTAAATGAGTACTAGTTAGGGGTATATTTTATATTGTAAGTACGAAGATTATGTTTTAACTTAGGCCAAAAAAAAAAAGGTGTATGTTTAGGGTTCCCGACTGACCCTAGCTTTTTACCCCCAACCCAAAACTTTTTTTTTTTAAACCTGCTAATTTTCGAATTTTAGAAGGTTCCTTGCATTTCAAAATGCTTCCAGCTCCGTGTTGGCGCTAAATGTCAGCATATGGAGAACAATTTGCCTCCAAATGAACCTTGTTTATGTTATTCTTTGTTTTTCATACAATAGTAGGGTCATAATCACATGACCAAAAATATACAAAAAAAATATACAAAAAAAAAACAAAAATAAAAAAACCGACCTACCTACCTTAGTATTTTTGCCAATGCAACCCTAAACAGACTATATATTTTTTTGGGCCTTATAGGCCTATTCTGTAACGTTTAAGGGAAGGAAAGCATTAGACCTACTCCATAGAGCTGATATTATCTTCCTTACCTCCATAGAATGAAGCTAAACAAGACTATCACAAAGACACTTGTGCTAACAAACGAGAAATTCCAAAGTTAGAACCAGATGCTTGCACTAGCTTCGTAACGACGCATCATGAAGACGACTCGAAAGATCCAATGGAGCTGAAGGGCCTTGATGAGTTGATAAGGTTCATCAATGGTACAGAAGACCAGAAAATGGGTGCTGACAAGTCCATGACTGCCAAAGCTGCTAAGAGGGCTCGACAGAAACAGCGAAAGGTAAAACAGGGATGACGTGAAATAAAAGTGTTGCCCTGCCAACTGTTTGCATTCTGGCCTTTCAAAACTGATTTGCTCTGATTTGCCTTCCTGCGATTTCAAAGCTACAGGATTGCATTACAATTTCACTCCTGCTGAGTTTTCTTTCTTGTTACATTTGAGAAAAAAATCAGGAGTGAACACTTTCCATATTACTGTACTGTTATTAATTACAACTTCAATTAACATGTTTAGACCTGGTGAAAATATTCCGATTCAGGGTTTTTCACAATTTTGAAAAAAATAATTAAATGATAACCCTACTGTGTTTAGGGCTTTGCAGCTCTGTATATATTGTGATTATAGTGTCCCAAATATTGGGTTTTTCTGGTGACATGAGTGTAGCCAGTGATACTTCAATCAACATCAAACATTACAATGCAAAATTCAAAACATGTAAGGATTTTCTCCATTTTAGTTCATATGAGCCAAAACCACCTTGTGTAAATGGCAATTGGCAGACATTATATTGTGGTTACAAGGTTGCAAATTATTTTCATTGACCAATCAGATAATTTGTTAAAATTACCAGGTATATCTCAAATTAATTAGAATAGCGATTATGTGAGTAGTAACTGAATAATTGTTAAAAATGAGGTTGGATGTTTGGCTGATCTACATGTTCTACTGTTTAAACTTGAAGAAGAACTACTGTAAATGAAGCATCAAGTTAAGTGTATTCGTGAATATTGTAAACAAATGATGGGATACTATCTCTTAGATAGAAAAGAGGAACTTATAATTAAAAATTAGCTAGTTTCATTTGATGGAGAGGGTTATACAAATGTTGCAAAATTACTACAAATGTTGATTAAATAACTTTTCAAATTCAGTGACCAATACATTTACTTTATGATGCTTTCAGAACGAGGAGAAAGCTCGGTTAGAAGCAGAAAAGAAACATCAAGAACAACAGAGACTTATTCGTGAGGAGCAGGAAAGACAAAAGAAAAACAAACTCATTGCTGCAAAGTTGGAACTGGAGAAATCTCAAAAGAAGAAAAAGAAAAAACACAAAGTGGTTCCAGAGGATACAAACTCAGCACACAGTGAAGTTGGTAATATAAATTTGAACCTTATACGAATACCTCCAGCGGGGCGGGAAGATGAGCAGCATTCGAGTGCTAAGCAAATTGAATTAAAGTCCAAACGTCGCGAGTCAGGAGAACAGAGTCCCAGTAGTCAGTCAAATGGGAAAATCTCAGATGAGAGTTTGGCAGGAACAAAGCCCATGAAAGGAAGGACGAAATGTCCACGAACACTTGACAAACAACAACCAGTACAGGTCCAGACTGTGCAAGCCCATCATGAATCTAAGGTGGACAAAAAGTCTGTGAAAAATTCCAGTCATACTTCTCAGACTTCTAAGGCATCCCCTGTAATTTCTAAAACAGTGTCAAGTAAAAACTCAGTACCTCAAATCTCCCAAGCTTCCAAACAACAACCTAATGGAACCATCGCTACCACGGTACCAACACCCATAGCCAGTGGTCGTACAACAACACAAGGCAAGGAGAATACCAAGCACTTCAATGACAGCCAGCTCCGTAATGGTACATGTGTACAGATCAAACTGGAGGATCTACAGCAGGATAGTGCCAATAGGAAGGGCAGAAAACCGACAGGGTCAGTAAACTCATCAGGTACAAGTCCAACTGGACAATCCACCAACAGTCTACACCACTCCAACTTGCATCAGGCGATCACTAAACAGTCGGGACAACCGGTCAACAGTCAAAATCAGTCTCCCTCGCCACAACCAACCATCAAACAGTCCGGACAACCGGTCAACAGTCTAAATCAGTCTCACTCTCAACACGTGACCGCCAAACAATCTGGTGTCAGACAAGGTCCTCCCCAGGACCAGCAACGGAAGGTAACAAGTCAGCAACAGGCCATGACCCCTCCCAAAGGTCACCTACACAACGGGGTTATCATCAGTCCAAACAAACGATTTGTTCCCCTGGACAATTCCCAGCACCATCAGTCACATCCCAACAGTACAGCTGGGAGACAAGTTACAAGCAACGACAAGAAGCCAGGCAAGCCACCTTCTCCAGTGGGGAGAACTGAGGAAACCTCCTCCAACAATGAACAGGTACAGAAAGAATCTTGTACTTCATAAAGATTGTCTTAAAAATGCTGTGGCAATGATAGTAGGATTTGTACTACAGTAAAATTTATCTCATTAAGCTTGAACAAAAAAAGTTATTTCAGTCTTAATACTCGAAGGATAAATTGTTAGCAGAACTATGTTAATAAAAAAATTGATTTCCATGTAAGTGAACACAATTTAAAATTATGATAAAGATTAATTTCACTTAATAAATTAGTTTGTTTTACTCATCAAATATTATGCAAGTTGCACTGTTTATGGTATTATTTTATAATGTATTTTTGCAGAACAAGAACAGCAGTGGAAAAAATAAAAGGAACAAGAAAAAGAACCGTGGTAGTGAAGATCTCAGTATGATTGGTAAGAACAGTGGTTATAAAACACTATATTATAATATCCCCCTCCATAATGCATGTCGTGTGTTGATAATTGTGTCCAAGTAATAGATTCTTTGTATTTTCATGAAGGTTGACCCAGTTTGATGTAACGTTACATTGGATTAAATTGAGGTGTGACCATTATCTTAACTGAGTATCAGTGACCTGTTTACCTAAAAGGAGTAAACTTACAAACAAGATTTGACTTTTAACATTTAATACACAGTTAAACACATACAATTATGTATAAAGTAGCTATTTAACACTTTGGTTTAGATTGCTTTCACCCTGTAACATACAACTTATGCATTATAACATGTAACTCTGTAGAAATTCTTTGTATCTATACACTTTCACCTGTGAATATTGAAGGAAATTGTCGTGTAAACAAGCAAATACATGGATTTTATAACCCCGTCAAGACACATATCTGTTGATCATTATTGTGATTTGGTGTATATTAGGAAGGAGAATCCTAATGTATACTGTTCAATAGCTGGATGCATATAGATACTATATAGGATATGAAGAGCAGGGGATAACATTAACAGATATAATGTACAAAGCAGGAGCAAGTGTGTCTTAGAGCTTAAATGTTGTTTTTAGTGTCATGGAGGCTGGTGTACAGGTGTTGATTTTGTAAATAGTTACAAAATAAAGTAATTCACATTCTTTTAAAAGAAAATGACAAATAATTCCAGCCTTCAGAAATGATCATTAAGGAGTGGTGAAATCTGATTGTACAATAAAATCTAACATCAAAATTGAGAATTAACTTAACATTCGACTTTTTGCAGATGAGATATTTATGCCGAAGTCCGAGTCCGATCTGGAAGGTGGCGACATGGATGATGTAGAGAAAGAACTGGAAGAATTTAAAAGGTAAGCAATCTTTTGCTGTGAAAAAAATATATGCTGCTATGGTTTGTATGAAATGAATAAAATATAGTGTTGCTTGTTATTCAGACATACCATAAATGTTTTTGAAATCTAAGTAGAATTTGCAACATTTCAGATGTATGATTTTAGTTTATAACCTGTTGCCTGTTTACTATGTGTAGAACATTGATTACAATTTGTTTTCAGATGTAATGAAGATCAATCAAATTACCATTGACCAGTTAGGCCATATAGTTGTTGGTTTTTGAAATGCAGATGGAGCAAGTGATTTGATTTTGGTTTCTGTTGACCTGTGACAAAGACTTTCATGGTCAAACATTTGCAGTCATTTTCAAAAGACTGAATACCACTGAAAAAATTACATGCATAAACAGGTGGACCAGTCTGCATAAAATAGGCACTAGAACGTACGTTTTTGTTGAAAAGTACATTTTAGTCTATCACTTGAATATGTTTTCAGTACAGGGAGTTGAAGTTGTTTAAAGTCCAAAGAGCTTCTGTCAAACTTAGGCATAGGAAGTTCACAGATTATTTGCGGGGCCTATTTGTTTATGTGGACAAACCAAAATGGTGTGTTTCAGGGATAAAGCCAGACAGATCTGCAAATAATAATGCTGAAGTCTTTGCCAAGGCTCGCCAGAAGGCAAAATCAAATCGCTAGGTCCTATTTCATCAATGAACAACTTTAGTCCAATCCTTTGGAACGTAATAAATGAAAGTGGCCAGAGTTCTGTTTGTTTTTAACACATGGTATTCACATGACTTTCTGCTATACATCAAAACAAGTTGTTAGGTGTGTTTAAGTACATGGTCTATACAACAGATTTTGTAACTTGTTATAAACCAACTCATTGTGGTCAATTGATACTTGCAGGTTTTGTCTTGGATCCACTCCTGTTAAGAGAGAAAAGCTTCAAGTAAACATGAATTTAAAGGACATCTTTGTGAAAAAGAAGTCGGGCCTGGGCTGTACCTAAATGGGTGATGATAAGTCACTGATGGTAAGAGGACCGAGGACTGGTTAAGTTTCTCGATCGACAGCTTGTCCAGTGATGGACAGATGTGACCAACAGGAAGTCTGACCAAGGTTGAGTTGACCAACAACTAGAGATAATGATGGAAACAGTAATGGACATAACACATCGGAGTAGAAGATTGGCGTGTTGTATAACAAGAACTTTTCATACCATTACACACTCCTTTTCAAATAAAATGATTGACATTTCTGGTCAAACATTACTGTATTTCTGTAACATTGTAAAGTGAAAGGCAGAAAATCCCACAAAATTTCCTGATATACTCTACACCACCACTTTTTCTAGAATCAAGAAACTAGTAGCATTAGGTTGTTATGGTTAACTGATATCAGGCCTGGTGTACATCAAACCCTGCCAGTTGTTTTAAACACATTTAAACACACAGATCTGTGGGTGTTAACGTAAACACATTAAAACACAGATCTGTGGGTTTTAACGGAAACACAATAAAACACACAGATCTGTGGGTGTTACCGTAAACACATTAAAACACACTGATCTGTGGGTGTTAACGTAAACACGTTAAAACACACAGATCTGTGGGGGTTAACGGAAACACAATAAAACACACAGATCTGTGGGTGTTATCGTAAACACATTAAAACACACTGATCTGTGGGTGTTAACGTAAACAAATTAAAACACACAGATCTGTGGTTGTTAACGTAAACACATTAAAGCACACAGATCTGTGGGTGTTAACGTAAACACATTAAAACACAGATCTGTGGGTGGGTGTTAACGTAAACACATTAAAACACACAGATCTGTGGGTGTTAACGGAAACACATTAAAACACACAGATCTGTGGGTGTTAACGTAAACACATTAAAACACACAGATCTTTTGGTGTTAACGTACACACATTAAAACACAGATCTGTGGGTGTTAACGGAAACACATTAAAACACACAGATCTGTGGGTGTTAACGTACACACATTAAAACACACAGATCTGTGGGTGTTAACGTAAACAAATTAAAACACACAGATCTGTGGGTGTTAACGTAAACATATTAAAACACACAGATCTGTGGGTGTTAACGTAAACATATTAAAACACACAGATCTGTGGGTGTTAACGTAAACAAATTAAAACACACAGATCTGTGGGTGTTAACGTAAACAAATTAAAACACACAGATCTGTGGGTGTTAACGTAAACATATTAAAACACACAGATCTGTGGGTGTTAACGTACACACATTAAAACACAGATCTGTGGGTGTTAACGGAAACACAATAAAACACACAGATCTGTGGGTGTTAATGTAAACACATTAAAACACACAGATCTGTGGGTGTTAACGTACACACATTAAAACACACAGATCTGTGGGTGTTAACGTAAACAAATTAAAACACACAGATCTGTGGGTGTTAACGTACACACATTAAAACACAGATCTGTGGGTGTTAACGGAAACACATTAAAACACACAGATCTGTGGGTGTTAACGTAAACAAATTAAAACACACAGATCTGTGGGTGTTAACGTACACACATTAAAACACAGATCTGTGGGTGTTAACGGAAACACATTAAAACACACAGATCTGTGGGAGTTAACGTAAACACATTAAAACACACAGATCTGTGAGTGTTAACGTAAACACATTAAAACACACAGATCTGTGGGTGTTAACGGTGCTGACAAGTCTGTATGCTGACGATGATTTGATTTATAGATCTTGACTTGCATATTTTGGGTAACAAATCTTGGAATAAGTTGTAAGTGTAAAAGATGCATAGTTAATTAAGTAATCTTTTGGCTCCAACCAAAAGTACATAATTATAAGACACAGACAACCAGAACCTGGAAACTTGGAAATATTTTAAGAAATACTTCCATCATTTTGATAGATGTATGGTAAAGGTTTTATAACAAGCACAACTTATTTTACAATAAGATGTTCTGTACTGACCATTCTAAATGATTACACTGTTCCATCAAGTGTGAGGAATTTGATGAAATCTCAAAGAACATTTTGATGGCTGTATGTATTTTGTCAGTCCTTCAAACATTAATTTCAAGTATCAGTATGTGAAATAGGATACAATTGCATTTAATTCGCTGCAGAACTTGCATTTAAAAGGGAGTTATTCCAAATTTGGTGGTTTCCACTGTATAAAGGAAATTTCAATAAAATATTTAGTAATTTTCAATGAAATATAGCTAGACCTGTGGTGTACATCACTTCTGTTTAGAATACATGTATTACAGATACTGGTAAACCTTCTAAAGCCATCAATACATCGTTGGAAAGAAAACTACCCCAATATATTCTCTAATTTATGGAAAAGTTCATCTTAGATAGCTATAGCCCGGAGGACTTTTTCTTGAATATTCAAGAAAAAGTTCAATCCATGTTGAAATACCTTTTTCTGTTGTAAACTGTTCTCAGAAGTTAGATTTACTCCCTGAGCATTTTTTATGGCACTCATAGTGGAGGTAAGTTTTAATTACCAAACGTTTTACAAAATAAACAAATCTCATTTTTTAATGAGATCAAAAGCTGAACTATTTGCATGTTTTAGACACCTGCAGTACATTTTAATATGTGAACACAAGTGATTTTAGATATGTTGGTGGAGTAGAACAACTCGCGTGGAAAGGTAGAGCTGCTGGGATGATGTACAAAACTGGCTTTCAATGCATGGTAGTTTTCTCAAGATAATTTATGTTGCTGATAAGTAGTATTTATTATGAGGTCTTTGTTGAGTGCTTTTGAACACTGTGGTTATAAGTCCAGCATTTCTATGCAATACAAACATGGATATCTTTGCTGTACATATAGATTATCTGTAAATCTGGTAGATATGACTTGGTAATTCGCTGTGCAGCAATAGAAAGGGTGTTTGTGTAATGTTGCTTACACTGTATAAGTTGCTAGGTTGGATGTCTACACTTGAGTTTCACTGTGACATTTTCCATGTTAGCTCAAGTGTAATGCACGATAGGATTTGCATGAAGTGATAGATAGGGTAGCAATACAGACCACCAAATTAGTGTAATGTTCGTTTTATTGTACTACAACAAACATTTTAGACGTTTGCTTGAACATTTAAAATGATTGTATGATTTTTTTCCCCCCCAATACATTTCACATTTGATATTTACATACATGTTACATTTCAATTATGATCAAACATAAAATTGTATCTTTAATTTTTACGGAATGCCTTGCACAATGTATGACATGGGCCATAATGATATATGGCACTTTCTCCGCTATTGGAGGGTATGACTGTCATTGATAACTTGTCCAACTCCCCCCTGGGATGAGTACTGTGTATATAGGGGTGGTGAAGATTGCGGTCTGGACCCCCCCCCCCCCCCACAAAGCTGCTGTACCTTCCATATTTTATTGTCCTCCATTTTGTTTGTGTTATGATAATGATATTACTGAGGTAAGCCAATTGCCCCGTTGCATTGTGATGAGACGCCATTTGTGACATGCGACTTTGAATGGACTTGTTTTGTTAGCCTATAACCTGTGTATGCTGACCTGAACATAACAGTGAGGAATAAATGAAAAAAAATACTTTTACCCCATGTCTTCTCTTGTCTCTCTGAGCACCACTCATGTATGTTTGTGACAAAAACAACAACGAAAATATTGTTACATCAAAATATTTTATTTGATAACATTTGAAAAATAAATAACAATGTATTTAACAACCTGCCTTAAGACATCAGTTACATGGTCTAATCATTATATGTTACATGGTCTGATCATTATAAGTTACATGGTCTGATCATTATAAGTTACATGGTCTGATCATAATAAATTACATGGTCTGATCATTATAAGTTACATAGTCTGATCATTATAAGTTACATAATCTGATCATTATAAGTTACATAGTCTGACCATTATAAGTTACATGGTCTGACCATTATAAGTTACATGGTCTGACCATTATAAGTTACATGGTCTGATCATTATAAGTTACATGGTCTGACCATTATAATTTACATGATCTGACCATTATAAGGCTTATCTATAGGAATGTGGAGTATCTTGTCTAGTTATTTCACACCTTTTAAGTACACTTGATACTGTTAACTGATGTAGTAACTTTTGTAAAACACCAGAAATCTTCATACTGTTTACATATTTGTAAAGATTTGGTTAAATAATGTGCATCACATTCTGTAAAGAAATAAACAATAATACCCTGCTATATATAGTTTTTATGGAAAAAAAGTTGTCAACAAATGAATTAGCACCCTGTTAATCCGTCACTTGTCTGCTCTGTAATTGTAGTCATAATAATGTTAGTATAAATAGCCAATTTATACAAGTACATGCTTGTATCATTGCAGTATGAGACTGCAGGTTTTGTATACACAGATAAGACCACTGTAAGAAATAACAACAGATTGAGTTAACCCATCTGTTCACCATAGCACTCCTAATGAGATTTCATGATGTTCTGACTCGGAAAATTCTAATATTGTTCAATGATGAATGGGCAGTTATGAGAGACTAAGGTAGTATATAGTACTGTTAGGTAGTATATAGTATATAGTACTGTTAGGTAGTATACAGTTCTGTTAGGTAGTATATAGTATACAGTGCTGTTAGGTAGTATATAGTATACAGCACTGTTAGGTAGTATATAGTATACAGTGCTGTTAGGTAGTATATAGTATACAGAACTGTTAGGTAGTATATAGAATATAGTACTGTTAGGTAGTATACAGTTCTGTTAGGTAGTATATAGTACTGTTAGGCAGTATATAGTATACAGTACTGTTAGCTAATATATAGTATTGTAATGTGGTATATAGTACTGTTAGGTAGTATACAGTTCTGTTAGGTAGTATATAGTATATAGTACTTTTAGGTAATATATAGTACTGTGAGGTAGTATATAGTATACAGTACTGCTAGGTAGTATATAGTACTGTTAGGTTGTATATAGTATACAGTACTGTTAGGGACTATATAGTATACAGTACTGTTAGGTATTATATAGTATACGGTAGTATATAGTATTTAGTACTGTTAGGTAGTATATAGTATTAAGTACTGTTAGGTAGTATATAGTATACAGTACTGCTAGGTAGTATATAGTACTGTTAGGTTGTATATAGTATACAGTACTGTTAGCTAATATATAGTATTGTAATGTGGTATATAGTACTGTTAGGTAGTATATATTACTGTTAGGTAGTATATAGTACTGGTAGGTAGTATATAGTATACAGTACTGCTAGGTAGTATATAGTACTGTTAGGTTGTATATAGTATACAGTACTGTTAGGGAGTATATAGTATATAGTACTGTTAGGTAGTATATAGTAGTGTTAGGTAGTATATAGTACTGTTAGGTAGGATATAGTACTGTTAGGTAGTATATAGTAGTGTTAGGTAGTATATAGTACTGTTAGGGAGTATATAGTATACAGTACTGTTAGGGAGTATATAGTATATAGTACTGTTAGGTAATATATAGTATACAGTACTGTTAGGTGGTATATAGTATACAGTACTGTTAGGTGGTATATAGTATACAGTACTGTTAGGTAGGATATAGTATACAGTACTGTTAGGTATTATATAGTATACGGTAGTATATAGTATTTAGTACTGTTAGGTAGTATATAGTAGTGTTAGGTAGTATATAGTACTGTTAGGTTGTATATAGTATACAGTACTGTTAGCTAATATATAGTATTGTAATGTAGTATATTATACAGTACTGTTAGGTAGTATATAGAATACAGTACTGTTAGGTAGTATATAGGATACAGTACTGTTAGGTAGTATATAGAACTGTTAGGTAGTATATAGTACTGTTCGGTAGTATATAGTATACAGTACTGTTGGGTAGTATATAGTATACGGTAGTATATAGTATTTAGTACTGTTAGGTAGTATATAGTATTAAGTACTGTTAGGTAGTATATAGTATATATTACTGTTAGGTAGTATATAGTACTGGTAGGTAGTATATAGTATACAGTACTGCTAGGTAGTATATAGTACTGTTAGGTAGGATATAGTATACAGTACTGTTAGGTAGGATATAGTATACAGTACTGTTAGGTAGGATATAGTATACGGTAGTATATAGTATACAGTACTGTTCGCTAATATATAGTATTGTAATGTAGTATATAGTACTGTTAGGTAGTAGATAGTACTGTTAGGTAGTATATAGTATTAAGTACTGTTAGGTAGTATATAGTACACAGTACTGTTAGGTAGTATATAGTACTGTTAGGGAGTATATAGTATATAGTACTGTTAGGTAGTATTCAGTACTGTTAGGTAGTATATAGTATACAGAACTGTTAGGTAGTATATAGAATATAGTACTGTTAGGTAGTATACAGTTCTGTTAGGTAGTATATAGTACTGTTAGGTTGTATATAGTATACAGTACTGTTAGGGAGTATATAGTATATAGTACTGTTAGGTAGTATTCAGTACTGTTAGGTAGTATATAGTATTAAGTACTGTTAGGTAGTATATAGTACTTTTAGGTAGTATATAGTATACAGTACTTTTAGGTAGTATATAGTATACAGTACTGTAAGGTAGTATATATTATACAGTACTGTTAGGTAGTATATTGTATACAGTACTGTTAGGTAGTATATGGTATACAGTACTGTTAGGTAGTATATAGTATACAGTACTGTTAGCTAATATATAGTATTGTAATGTAGTATATAGTACTGTTAGGTAGTATACAGTACTGTTAGTGTATTTTAATGTGAAAAAAGGTTACTGTTGTGTGGAATTGGCAGATACACTGATGCATGAATACAGCTTCAGAAAATTATCATTAACGAAATTTTAACAGGATGTGAGCAATCCTTATTTCCTAGAAGTTTAACTTAACTGTGAAGATAAAGTTTAAACTGCACACACATGGCACCCACTTCCTAGTTTGCCTTCGATTAACATTTCTATTGCACATTTGATTTATAACTTGCAGTGATTAAAATATCTTCCACAAAAACTTGCGAGATTATATGTCGCCGAACTCAAGTGAGAGGGTATCATTTCCCAATACCTTGTACATCATACATGTATGTGTATGTTACTCGGACATTGGTTCACCAAAAGGACCATGCATTCACTATACCAAACTTATGGGAAAGTATTCATGCATATTACCGACAATAGTCATACAATCGCCACACCCAACTCATGGCCAGAGTATCAATTTCCCAATATCTTGCACACTTTGACAGTTACTAAAAAAAAAAAAAACAATCTGATGATCCCCGGATATCTCGTACATCATACACGCAAGTTACTGACGGATGTCCGCCAAAATGAACTAACATACCACACCAGGCCAGACTACCAAATAATCATACCACACCACACTCGTGGGACAGGATGTGTCGCCAGATGTTTCCAAGTTCAGGTGTGAAGAGTAACAGCAATAAAACCAAACTCGTGGGGGAGTTTGTGTTACCATATATCTTGCACATCGAAGTAAATTCCTGACAGTGGTTAACCAGACTGATCATACATTACCACACCAGACTCATGGGGGAGTATGGGTCCCCCGATATTTCCCACATCATACGTGTAAGTTTCTGACAGTGTTCCACGATGTACCGGGAATGAACCAGACCTATGTGCATCATCATGAGCTCGTAACAGTTGATGGACCCTGGTACCGCGTTGGGGAAGGACTCCCGGGTCAAGTTGCGGTAGAAATTCCCCGACAGGATCCCAGGAGGAGACTGGGCCAGAGAAGCTTGGTACTGGCGCTGGACTGGCATCTGTGCACCCTGCAACCAGTAATGGTTTTAGGCAACACTCATTGTTTATTGTAATTATCAAATATGAGCATCGGTATCAAAACAAATGGTGATGTACATGAAGGTTGTAATTTTATTTTTACAATATAATAATTACATGTATTTGAATGACCTACAATATAACAACAGTGTAAGGAAGGTAAAAGTAGGTATCTTACATTACAGTCTTCAAACCACAGGAAATAGGAGAAGTGGTAGTCGCCATCTTTTGTGGTCACCATGGTAATGCCATTCTTCAGCTTCAGCTGCACCCATTCAATCATTTTCCAGATCTAAACCCAAAACACTACTGGTATTTTACACTCTCTACAATTAATCTGGTTTAGTTGATAAAGAGCTTTGTTTTTGTCAACATTTCCTAAGAGTTGGTCAATATTTACCATGAGTTACAGCACAAAATCTGGGTATCTCTTGATTCCAATTTTGAATTCAGCTTAAAAAATGCTGACACATTTACTGACTCAATATATACCTAAGAAGGTAGTGGCTTAGCACCGTATGTGATACCTTTTCCTTGAAGAGCTGGGTGGCGTCTGATTCTGTGCCATCCTCGCCAGTGGTGATGTTGAGAGAAGGTGCCATTACCTGATTGGTCTTCCTGTCTATGTAGATAAAGTGAACGAGACCCGGGAACATGTCCAGGTATGTACGCTTGTTAAGGATCAGGTAACACAACAATTATTGGCAAGGTAGAACATATATTATTTTATCCAAAAAAATATTTCACTTTAAAACACATTATTTCAGCAATCACAAAATAAAACATTTGAGAAATGTATAGAATACATAATTTGCAAATGCCCCATTATCTGGACAACCCTATTGTCATGTACTCAAAGCTTATAACTGCCAACAATTTTGTTTTCATGTGAAGGATATGTTGTCATCGTAATGTTGCGCTGGGCCTTGACGGCGAGATAGTCTTTGTAGTCGCGAAGTTTGACCTTAGCCTTTTCATGTATGACCTTCACTGCTTCAATGATTGACGATGGAACGTCTCGAGGAAGGAGGTACATATATAAGAAGAGCTCCTTTACTCTCTTCAGTAACAAGTTCAAGGCACGCTCCACACTGAAATATTGATACAGAAATGTTATACAGAGGATTCTGTGTAATCAAGACTGAAATTCTTCTTTTTAGACATAAGACATTTGCCAATCTGTAATGTGTCTTTTCTGTAAACTGGCCTTGTTTCCAAGTCCTAGACTCTAAAATTCTTCTTTCCAGACATTAGGCTCTAGCTAATCTGGATTGTGTCTTTTCTGTAAACTGGCCTTGTTTCCAAGTCCTAGACTCTAAAATTCTTCTTTCCAGACATTAGGCTCTAGCTAATCTGGATTGTGTCTTTTCTGTAAACTGGCCTTGTTTCCAAGTCCTAGACTCTAAAATTCTTCTTTCCAGACATTAGGCTCTAGCTAATCTGGATTGTGTCTGTTCTGTAAACTGGCCTTGTTTCTAAGTCCTGTGCACTATACACCAGTAAATATGCTCTCTAAATCTGTGTCTGACCCCTCCTGGTCTAACGTGGGGGTTTATACAGTCCACAATTCCTATGCAAAAGCATTAACAGTTGACCAGTCATTATCACCAAGGTACATATGCTAATAAAAGGTTTGATATTATAATGTGAACGGTGGAATGCTGTGTTAGGTGCCTTCTGCATGGTATTTCAGTGAGATAGCACTCAGAAGTCTGCATCAGTTTCACGCAATCAAGAAAGCAATTTCACCAAATGCCCTGCCTCCAGCACACAAACACACAGACATGCATACATTAGACACATGGAGGCATGACCTGAAATGATCTTAGCTGTTGGTAGGATGTTAACCCTATTACCAAACAAACATTATGACATAATATAAAGTGTTCGTATAGGTCAGTCCTCTTGGTGATGATAAGATAACTGAAAATAAGAGAACGTCATTTCCTTAACATTATGGCAGGTGAAATCAGTAAATTAACCTACGGGTAGTGTCTTTTAACATGAGTACATATACAATGAACTAAACAAAATAAACCCACAGTTGTATATATATATTTTTTTATTGCATTTTAACCCATTCACCCCTTAAGTCATATATGAACCTTACCACATCACAGACTGGGCAAGTCAAGTTTAAATATATAGTTAGTCACTCTTGAATCCTGAACTCTCTAAGATTTGACTAAACAAGATGGTGCCAGTGGTGTTCAGTTTAGATATATATATAGAAGATAGAGTCTTTCTTTTTCAACAAACCATTCAGAGAAAATCTAACACAGACAGACTTGACATAAGATGCTGGAATAGACACCCCCGCCTTCCTTTACTAACTGATATACCTAGTCAGATGATTATCAGTTATTTTTCGATTATTTAGTAATTATTTCTATTAAATACATTAAGAGGCAAACAAAATGCTTACCTTGGTGGAATCTCAACATTAGAGGCATTCTCTAGGTATTCTAGCAGCAAATTCTTAAACTCTGGTTTGTCCCAACCTGCTCGTATTTTGTTGAAAATCACAGCAATGGTACCCTATAAAAAGATACTGAATAGTCAATTCTCCAATTTTGACCTTGAACATTCCTTGAATCATATGACAAACAGATGGAGAAAAAACCATATGGCATATCTCGCTCTATTTGGAGGACATACAAAACTTGTCAAAGTCTGTTTAAGGTTCTGATATTGTCGTTAACTACTGAATTTATTACCACTCTTGTATACCGATGTCCCAAGGGAAGAAAAGTCACCAGAGCTATGGTAATTTCTTACAAACAAATTCATGGAATTTATGTTTCCTGCTTTCATTTGACCAATGTCTTTTTCAATGTAAATTACGTTATCTATGGGAAGAAAATGATAGGTAGTATTTCCCCCAGCAGGTTACATGATGAATAGCATTAGCCTAGGTTTATAGTTCCTGACAAAGAAGTTGTTCGGAAAATAAATTGATGACAAACAAAAAATTGATGCACCATGATATAAGCTCACAGGCACTCTTGTGTTAGGTGAGCTATTTTTTTTATAGAAATCTTGGACATTTCCCCATAACATGATGCTAAAGGTATAGAAATGGTCGCTATATATGGTAGACTAGATATAAAGCTCAGATTATTGTAGTCCTCATTCAGTAATCAGGGCCCATACCTTGATCTTTTTCATAGCTGGCATCAGTTTGTTTAAGAGGGAATTGATGATGTCGAACAACTCCTGTCCCTGTGCACGGTGCACCCTCGTTCGTCGCCCTGACAACAGATCCTTCAGAAGCAGCAGAAGCTGACATAGTTTGTCGGCATGGCCTCCCAAAGGTACCTGTATGTAAAACAAAACAGTTTTTACGCTTCATAGGTATCAACTACCTACTTCTGTTGATACAGACTAGCAATATCTCTGGGTAAATCTGTGAGTGGACAGAGAAGGAGAGGAAAGGGAATGGAGAGGGAAGACCTACATGACTGATGACGACCAGCCCCATGCATGGGTGGAACAGTGAGGGGAAGAAGAGGAGAGAAGAAGGGAGGGAGGGGGGGGGAGAGAGATTTACTTGTCTGTTGTGTGTTGAGGACTACATGTAGCAGCATGTCTGTATAGNGGGGGATTTGAGAGATGTGGATTAGGTTTTCTCCCAATCAGTAAGGGAGGAGAGGTGGGAGACTTACCTGACTGACAAGGACTAAAACCATCCCAGGGTAGATCTGTTAGGGGAGGGAAGGGAGACTTACCTGACTGACAAGGACTAAAACCATCCCAGGGTAGATCTGTGAGGGGAGGGAGATTTCCCTGACTGTCAAGGACTAAAACTATGCCAGGGTAGATCTGTGAGGGGAGGGGAGGGAGACTTACCTGACTGACAAGGACTAAAACCATCCCAAGATAGATCTGTGAGGGGAGGGGAGGGAGACTTACCTGACTGAAAAGGAATAAAACCATCCCAGGGTAGATCTGTGAGGGGAGGGAGACTTACCTGACTGAAAAGGAATAAAACCATGCCAGAGTAGATCTGTGAGAGGAGGGAGACTTAGTGGACTGACAATGACTGAAACCATCCCAGGGTAGATCTGTGAGGAGAGGGAGGGGAGGGAGACTTACCTGACTGATGAGGACTAAAACCATCCCAGGGTAGATCTGTGAGGGGAGGGAGACTTACCTGACTGACGAGGACCAAAACCATCCCAGGGTAGATCTGTGAGGGGAGGGAGGGGAGGGAGACTTACCTGACTGATGAGGACTAAAACCATCCCATGGTTGATTTGTGAGGGGAGGGGAGGGAGACTTACCTGACTGACAAGGACTAAAACCATCCCAGGGTAGATTTGTGAGGGGAGGGAGACTTACCTGACTGATGAGGACTAAAACCATCCAATGGTAGATTTGTGAGGGGAGGGGAGGGAGACTTACCTGACTGATGAGGACTAAAACCATCCCAGGGTAGATTTGTGAGGGGAGGGAGACTTACCTGACTGACGAGGACTAAAACCATCCCAGGGTAGATCTGTAGACAGTGGAGCTGGTGTGGTGAGAATGTACAAGTGTCTGTACACAGGAACACAGTCTGTCGGACATAACTCTCATTCTCTGTTCTCTGTGGGGCGGTCAGTATGGGAGGTGGGGTGTCATTCACTAGGGACTTCATGCTGTCAGACTTTGACCCGTCACCTGTTCCAGCAGACACCAGGCCAAATTATATTTCTTTTATATATATACATCACAATATAGTACATGTATAAACAAATAAATACAGTCAACACGTTAACAGTAGATTAAGCTCTAGGAAAACAATCACCAAAAATACTTTTCATCTTCAATTGTATTACACTGAATAACAATGGAGCTGTATTTGTATTAAAACAGTGGAGCTGTGTACAGCGACATCATACTGCGGCACTACATACCTGATCGGGACATTGATGACGGGTGTCCCATCATACTGCGGCACTACATACCTGATCGGGACATTGATGACGGGTGTTCCATCATACTGCGGCACTACATACCTGATCGGGACATTGATGACGGGTGTTCCATCATACTGCGGCACTACATACCTGATCGGGACATTGATGACGGGTGTTCCATCATACTGCGGCACTACATACCTGATCGGGACATTGATGACGGGTGTTCCATCATACTGCGGCACTACATACCTGATCGGGACATTGATGACGGGTGTTCCATCATACTGCGGCACTACATACCTGATCGGGACATTGATGACGGGTGTTCCATCATACTGCGGCACTACATACCTGATCGGGACATTGATGACGGGTGTTCCATCATACTGCGGCACTACATACCTGATCGGGACATTGATGACGGGTGTTCCATCATACTGCGGCACTACATACCTGATCGGGACATTGATGACGGGTGTTCCATCATACTGCGGCACTACATACCTGATCGGGACATTGATGACGGGTGTTCCATCATACTGCGGCACTACATACCTGATCGGGACATTGATGACGGGTGTTCCATCATACTGCGGCACTACATACCTGATCGGGACATTGATGACGGGTGTTCCATCATACTGCGGCACTACATACCTGATCGGGACATTGATGACGGGTGTTCCATCATACTGCGGCACTACATACCTGATCGGGACATTGATGACGGGTGTTCCATCATACTGCGGCACTACATACCTGATCGGGACATTGATGACGGGTGTTCCATCATACTGCGGCACTACATACCTGATCGGGACATTGATGACGGGTGTTCCATCATACTGCGGCACTACATACCTGATCGGGACATTGATGACGGGTGTTCCATCATACTGCGGCACTACATACCTGATCGGGACATTGAGGACGGGTGTTCCATCATACTGCAGCACTACATACCTGATCGGGACATTGATGACGGGTGTTCCATCATACTGCGGCACTACATACCTGATCGGGACATTGAGAATGGGTGTTCCATCATACTGCAGCACTACATACCTGATCTGGACATTGAGGACGGGTGTTCCATCAAACTAGCACTTCGAGCCCGTCCTGCACCAAACAAGTTTCTCCAGGATGACATGCCAGTGTGCACATCTTCACTTGTACGACTTCTACCCCGCATTGTCGGAACATTTAGTCCCTGCTCTCCCGTTGGCCAAAGCTAGGGGAGATAAGTGATTTCCTAAAAGTTTTACTGTATGTGCTAGTGGATAAAAATCCACCCAGCTGTTGTACTGACCTAAAAGTACCTTGTTATACAGTGAACTGAAGCACTAATGTCATATTTATATGTCATATATAAAGTACTAAGTAATTTTCCATTTCATGTGAGGTTTAAACACAACTCTTAAACTTTCATTTCAATGAGACAATGATGAGCTATAACGAAATCTTCAGGCAGATTTTAATTAATAAATCTGCAATGACTCCTATGACTAAAGATGCCTATATTTATAATTGGCTGGAAGCTTGCTTGTATAAAGGACTATCAAATTTGTTTAAGTTAAAGACCTTGATCAGTACTCAAGTTCACAGAGGTCAAATGTGTTGAAATTTTCAAACAACCATCTCTGAATAACTAACAGGTCAAATGTATTGATTTTTTTAAACAACTTCCTCTGAATAACCAACAGGATTATTCAGAGAAAGTTGTTTATGAATTTCAACACATTCGACCTCTGTGAACTTGAATACTCGTCAAGGTCTTTAATTTAAACAAATTTGATAGACCTTTATACAAGCAAGCTTCTAGCCAATTATAAACATAGGCATCTTCAGGAGATTTTGTTTTACATAAACGTTGAGGCTGGAAGGACAAACAATGGATGATACACTTGGCCTTTTGACCTAATCAAGTGGACTGTGGATTGTGTTTTATATTTAGAGCACATCCGACATGTCTTCACTCCTGGTAGATACTAAACCCTCAACATCTGCTGAGGTCACTCACTCGGGACCACTTATCCCTACTCATCAATGTTAATTTCTGTTTGAGAGCTGTGACAGATTAGGTAAGTCCATCCTCAATATCCAGGGGTTACGCTCACTTACGCTCTCTACACCCCTGAAACATGTCATAGCAAAATTGAAGGCTCAGTGTGCACCACCTTAGCTTGTTGATGAGACAAGAAGACTAGTTCACTCCTATGATGTACATCCAAATAATCTTGCGGTCACGTAACGGTAAAAATTGACAGGCTTTGATGTCAGGCGTCTCTCCTTTGTTATCTTCAAAGGACATGTATCAGTGTAGCGATTGGTCAGGTTTTTTTTAACCTGAGACCAATCAAACAGCTATCTTCGTGCCTTCAATTTTGCTATTCCAGGGGTGCAGAGAGCGAAAGTGAGCGTAACCTCTGGATATCGAGGATGAGGTAAGTCTAGCTTTTACCATAGGGTCGGTTAAGTTTGGTTCTTACCTTAGGGTCAGGTCAGGTAAGTCTAGCTCTTACCTTAGGGTCAGGTTAGGTAAGTCTGGTTCTTACCTTAGGGTCAGGTCAGGTAAGTCTGGTTCTTACCTTAGGGTCAGGTCAGGTAAGTCTAGTTCTTACCTTAGGGTCAGGTCAGGTAAGTCTAGTTCTTACCTTAGGGTCAGGTCAGGTAAGTTTAGTTCTTACCTTAGGGTCAGGTCAGGTAAGTCTAGTTTTTACCTTAGGGTCAGGTCAGGTAAGTTTAGTTCTTACCTTAGGGCCAGGTCAGATAAGTCTGGATCTTACCTTAGGGTCAGGTCAGGTAAGTCTGGTTCTTACCTTAGGGTCAGGTCAGGTAAGTCTTGTTCTTACCTTAGGGTCAGGTCAGGTAAGTCTGGTTCTTACCTTAGGGTCAGGTCAGGTAAGTCTGGTTCTTACCTTAGGGTCAGGTCAGGTAAGTCTGGTTCTTACCTTAGGGTCAGGTCAGGTAAGTCTGGTTCTTACCTTAGGGTCAGGTCAGGTAAGTCTGGTTCTTACCTTAGGGTCAGGTCAGGTAAGTCTGGTTCTTACCTTAGGGTCAGGTCAGGTAAGTCTGGTTCTTACCTTAGGGTCAGGTCAGGTAAGTCTGGTTCTTACCTTAGGGTCAGGTCAGGTAAGTCTGGTTCTTACCTTAGGGTCAGGTCAGGTAAGTCTGGTTCTTACCTTAGGGTCAGGTCAGGTAAGTCTGGTTCTTACCTTAGGGTCAGGTCAGGTAAGTCTGGTTCTTACCTTAGGGTCAGGTCAGGTAAGTCTGGTTCTTACCTTAGGGTCAGGTCAGGTAAGTCTGGTTCTTACCTTAGGGTCAGGTCAGGTAAGTCTGGTTCTTACCTTAGGGTCAGGTCAGGTAAGTCTGGTTCTTACCTTAGGGTCAGGTCAGGTAAGTCTGGTTCTTACCTTAGGGTCAGGTCAGGTAAGTCTGGTTCTTACCTTAGGGTCAGGTCAGGTAAGTCTGGTTCTTACCTTAGGGTCAGGTCAGGTAAGTTTGGTTCTTACCTTAGGGTCAGGTCAGGTAAGTCTGGTTCTTACCTTAGGGTCAGGTCAGGTAAGTCTGGTTCTTACCTTAGGGTCAGGTCAGGTAAGTCTGGTTCTTACCTTAGGGTCAGGTCAGGTAAGTCTGGTTCTTACCTTAGGGTCAGGTCAGGTAAGTCTGGTTCTTACCTTAGGGTCAGAATCTAAAGTTGGAGTCAACTCCTTTCCCATCTCAGAGACCTGTGGGTAGGAACTGCCTATGTACAAAGATGAAAAATAATAACTATGTGAATCTCTTCACCTTAGAATTACAGTATAATATATAGATGGTAATTCATAATAATTACTTCCACATGGTTAAATGAGGCTCGATCAAACCATTCACTGGCATACTGCACAAGATATGTTAGATTCATAATAAATGTGATTTTAAAAATGCTTCTTTTTCAAAAAGCTGGCCATATTTTATTCGTAGAACATTGCAATTCTACAACAAATATTTCTTAATGTCAGATGTTGTAAATAAAATGCAGAGTTGTTTGTCCCTGAGTTGTAAAAATATTGTCAGGTTAAAAAGTGATAGGTCTGTGTTTACCAACGGCTGTAGAGAAGGATTCCCTTGTACTTCGTCTCGGAGGAGTGTCTCTGGCACTCTGGTACTGAAAGCACAGAAACAAAATAGCCTGACATGAACTGTTGTTCACAATATTGAATACCGTTTTATAGACAATTCCTCCAACTTAACAATACAGGGTACCACTTACTAAATCATTCCTCCAACTTAACAATACAGGGTTCCACTAACTAAACCATTCCTCCAACTTAACAATACAGGGTACCACTAACTAAACCATTCCTCCAACTAAACAATACAGGGTACCACCAACTAAACCATTTCTCAAACTTAACAATACAGGGTACCACCAACTAAACCATTCCTCCAACTTAACAATACAGGGTACCACTTACTAAATCATTCCTCCAACTTAACAATACAGGGTACCACTTACTAAATCATTCCTCCAACTTAACAATACAGGGTACCACCAACTAAACCATTCCTCAAACTTAACAATACAGGGTACCACCAACTTAACAACACAGGGTACCACCAACTAAACCATTCCTCCAACTTAACAATACAGGGTACCACCAACTAAACCATTCCTCCAACTTAACAATACAGGGTACCACCAACTAAACTATTCCTCCAACTTAACAATACAGGGTACCACCAAATAAACTATTCCTCCAACTAAACAGTACAGGGTACCACCAACTAAACCATTCCACCAACTTAACAATACAGGGTACCACCAACTAAACTATTCCTCCAATTTAACAATACAGGGTACCACCAAATAAACTATTCCTCCAACTTAACAATACAGGGTACCACTAACTAAACCATTCCTCCAACTTAATAATACAGGGTACCACCAACTAAACTATTCCTCCAATTTAACAATACAGGGTACCACCAAATAAACTATTCCTCCAGCTTAACAATACAGGGTACCACTAACTAAACCATTCATCCACCTTAACAATACAGGGTACCACCAACTAAACTATTCCTCCAACTTAACAATACAGGATACCATGATCTAAACAATTCTACCAACTTAACAATACAGGGTACCACCAACTAAACTATTCCTCCAACTTAACAATACAGGGTACCATGAACTAAACCAATTTTCCAACTTAACAATACAGGGTACCATGAACTTAAAAATTCTACCAACTTAACAATACAGGGTACCACCAACTAAACTATTCCTCCAACTTAACAGTACAGGGTACCACTAACTAAAATATTCCTCCAACTTAACAATACAGGGTACCACCAACTAAACTATTCCTCAAACTTAACAATACAGGGTACCACTAACTAAACAATTCTACCAACTTAACAATACAGGGTACCACCAACTTAACAATACAGGGTACCACCAACTAAACCATTCTTCCAACTTAACAATTCAAGGTAGCATTAAACAAAACCATTCCTCCAACATAACAATACACCACCTTTCTCTGATTGCAGAAAAGTTATATATCTGGAAAATTTAATATTTCTGGAAATTTCATGATGCATCAAACCAACACATCACTTACTTACACAACGCATATACAATATATTTTACCTGGTCATCAGCATCCTCCACTGAGTCCTCGTCATCCCCCTCCAGGGCACTCTCATAGAGCTCCCTATGTGGAGGGTAGGTACGGGCCAAAGCTGGGCTCTTCACCTCTTCCATAGGGCTTACAGGGTCAGGTTTACGATAGGAGAAGGCGAAGAAATCCTCCAGTTTCTCATCGTTAGGAAACATCTGCTGGACTAGCAAAATGATAGACAGGGTATCCGCTGCCTGAAGTTCAGCTGAATTACGACTAAAATTTGAAAATGAAATAATTTTCAATCATTTAAAAAACCTGACACAAGTTATTCCATTTCTACAGACATTGATAACTCTGGCTTTAATATTTATTCTAATAGTAAATACATGCATGAAGCTGTAGTAAAGTAATTTATGGGAGAGTCCACTCTATAGACAGTGCACCTTAAAGTATTGTTTTCTTCTCATAGAAGTAACAGAGGTCATTATTTTTTTCAATGCCTTCACTAGGAGTCAAACCCAGGACCTCTGATTTACTATCCAGATTCTGTACCCAGATGAGCTTAAGAGAAATTCTACCTAAGTCAAGTTGGTAGGAAGTTGCTAATTGTTTTTACAAGTGTGACATACTCCCCTTCCAGAAAATAACTTGTCTCACGTGTCAGGGGTAACAGTGTTGATTTTTGAAAATATTTCTAAGGTCCCTATGTGGGCACCAATATAACAGATATCAATTTTTGTCAATGGTTCTACTAAGAGTCAAACCTGGTACCTCTGGTTTACTAGTCTGTTGCTCTACTGAGAATCTTAAAGAGAAATTGAGTTAGTAGACAGCGACTAGTATTTTACCTGGGCGACATAGATATTGGCCCTCTGTTACAGCCCTAACATCACACAGGTGACAGGTGTTATGGGTGACTTACTCAGAGTACAGAGACAGTAGTTTACTATTGACCACAAGGAGAGCATGATGTGTGGCCTTTTCCCCAGACTTCTGTATCTTGTTGATAGCCGACTCTAACAGCTCCATACATTTAACATTGACAGTCTGGTTCACCTGTAGTCGTTCTACAGCCTACAAACATAGCGACAATAGGCTACAAATCTTTCAAGGTGGTTATCACGACATTCAATGATATGTCATGGTTCTACAAAAAAATATATACAGATTTTCGGTACAATACGTGTATTTTATTTATAAACAAATAGTTAAATTCTGAATTACTTTAACAATACTCTTCGAGTTAATTCACACAAGTCCATGTATAAATTTTCCAAAAAGTCCCATTGAACAATAGAGTTATGAAAAAAGAAATTGTAAATAGATTTTGTTTTTTAAATTATGAAATTTAGCTAAAATATCTCAAGGCAACAAATTCAAAATCCTCAAAGTTTCACCTCCACAAGAAATGACTGCTCCTCCATGACAAGTTGTGTGTAGGTGGATAGCACACCTCTCACAAAGGCCCACCTGTCACTTCTGTCTGTAAACTTACTGTGCCCCAACCTGAATCCAAACATTCAACAGGTGAGATAAGACATAGGAAGAGAGAGGGTCTAATTAGTCTGACAAAGGGTCTAGGTAGCAACACGTAGCGTCTAGGCAGGCTGAAATAGAGTCTACAGTGTCTGAAATAAAGGTCTAGGTAGTCTGAAATAGAGTCTACAGAGTCTGAAATAAAGGTCTTGGTAGTCTGAAATAGAGTCTACAGAGTCTGAAATAAAGGCCTTGGTAGTCTGACATAGAGTCTACAGAGCCTGAAATAAAGGTCTAGGTAGTCTAAAATAGGGTCTACAGTCTGAAATAAAGGTCTAGATAGTCTAAAATAGGGTCTACAGTCTGAAATAAAGGTCTAGGTAGTCTAAAATAGGGTCTACAGTCTGAAATAAAGGTCTAGGTAGTCTAAAATAGCGTCTTCAATCTGAATTAAAGGTCTAGGTAGTCTTAAATAGGGTCTACAGTCTGAAATAAAGGTCTAGGTAGTCTAAAATAGGGTCTACAGTCTAAAATAAAGGTCCAGGTAGTCTAAAATAGGGTCTACAGTCTGAAATAAAGGTCTAGGTAGTCTAAAATAGGGTCTACAGTCTGAAATAAAGGTATAGGTAGTCTGCAGTCCAATCATACTTTAATGATGTAATCAAATCAAATTTATTGTAAACAAGGAGGGTAGGTATATATTGAATTAAAGCAAAACAAAATGAAATTGACCTGTATATTATTCCCTTATCGATTTATTTAGTAATTATTTTTATCATAACTTCAAGAAAAGCATGATTTTAATGCTTGAAAATATTATAAATCAACAGGAAATCATTTTGGAAAATCATTTAAACAGTAAATGCTCAGTAATCAAAATTAATAAAATGTCTAGATTAGCCAGCTTCTACAGAACTGTGCTTATTTTTTTATATTTTTCAAATTTCTGATATCTTACTCCTCTATGGCCGGCCCGAACAGGAACTCCATGAGTCGGACAAACACACAGGCCTTCCGGTGCATAAACTCTTCACTCTCCGTCTTGTCTCCAATTATCATAATCAACAGCAAATCTTCAAACTGTCAAACAAACAGCTTACAACTAAAAACTGATTTCAAATTATTTACCAAACCAACAACTTATAGTTTCTAGTTTAGTAAATACTGCTACTTAGAACTGGACATTATGTTGAAAGAAATAGTAGATTTGTGGAATTTTTTTTGTATTAAAAAATGTTCTGACAGCTGAAACCTCTTTAAGAATATACTGACCTGTTTGAAGACAAAAACATAGTCGTTTTCACAGGTGATTGACAGGCAGGGATTCTTCTTGTGGTCAATCAGGAACCATTGTGACATGAACAGCGGAGAAAACAGCTGCATCACAACATTACGATCCAACTTCCCATCGCTGTCCTCCGGCTACAGTCAAGATTTGTAAAACGATTACCCTCGGGAAACTTTCACCCTGTCGAACTTCCGCTTTACCAGTAAAATCCATAATTGTCCAGCGTTAATTTTGCCCTTCACATATATAATGACTGTATGAAGTATAGCTGTGCATAAAAACTTGATGGTAGGATACATTTTTGCGCTCATTGTGGAGGGCAAAAAATGTGAAAACTGCTTTGGAAATTTCCCGGGGTAAAGCAGTTTATATTAATTGCCTCAACACAAGATTATAATAATGTAAATGTACATGCAATGCTAAAACCAATATTTGGAACCTGAGTCCAGGGCTATAAAATATCTCTGTCTGAATAGCAGTATACATGTAAGCATTATTAATTTTTAGTTTGGTTTGTTTTTGTTTAACAACTTAAATTAAGCCTACTTGGTTAGATTGTCAATAATGAGAGTTCAAAGGTTTATGATTTGATTCCAGTCTACCCTGTTTTATTTTATTTTCCCGTCCTATTACAAGTCAAAGCCATTTACAATACCCTAATGTTACAAGTTTGTGAGCTTGGTAAGGGGGTTACTAAAATCTTGGTTGTTAATAGATTTAGAGCAGCAAATTAATTTTTGGAATATCTTCATTTAGAATCAAGTTGGATGTGATTTTCATTTAAGTTTTGCATCATTTAGTATGAATTTAAGATTAACATCAGAGTAATTAATCCTTGGTTTAATCATTGCACCCACAGATGCTGGACACACTGATATGATGAGTTAAAGTACTATATCATAGTATTATATAGTAATAATACACATCATATCAGTGTCCTGAGCACCTGTGATTGCAATTTGCACCTGATCTTTCTGACTATTTTAACACATCATGTATTCATTCTGTTACATGTTATTTTGTGATTGCAAAGGTTGAAACATGGAACAGAATAGAAATGAGAACATTCTTGCTAAAGGCTATTGAACCATCATTTAAGCCTCCTCCCCCCTCCCAATAGAACATTAAAAATCGGAACTTTTCCAGACCATGACATGCAATGAATCATTCATTACCTGTAGTAATCCTTCCTCTATGGCTTGACTGTTTACATTATGTATAAATGCATCATCACAATCGGCGAACAAAAGATCGTTTATTCTGTTTATTATAAGAAATCCTTTCATGTTGGTCACCTGTCATTTCTCTTCCTCATATACTCTGTCAGATAGACGCTTTCTCTTTTATTACCGTTTGATTCAAACGTACCACTGAATAATTGTTCGAGTATAGTTTCGTAAATTAAAACGAAAGTAGAATATTTATAAATAATTACACATCTTAAGATATACTGATAAACTGATGAGCCCACATTTTATTCTTAATTAAAATTATTGTAAATTTAACATCAAATAAGACAAAACTTATCCTTTGCCGAAAAAATAGCACCTGTCAAAAATTTCTAAGATGGACGCTTCCATGGACGAGGTAAACACTGTTGATTTAAGTCTAAATAATGTATTTATGTCTTTAATTTGTTGCATTTATCTTTACATATACTTTAATTTTAACGTATTCGACTATACAAACATTTTACTTTTAACGTGTTCAATCTACGATATCACCGCCTATCGTTTGTCGTTACCTACGCTAACGTTAGATAGATGTTGTGGTTGTTGACATAATTATATTTCAAAAGTTAGCTTATTGATAGTTCTTTTAGCAGCTTTATTAGACATAAGACATAACTTTGTAATCTTTTGTTTGTAACGATCGTCCTATAAATAATAATTTACTTCTCACTCATGTATCTGACGATTTTTTTTTTACAAAATTACTTGTTATTATCTGATTTTGTTTGTTTGTTACATTGTGGTCCTCAATAGGTGTTGAAGGTCCGTGTGTTTGATGTAAATGCCCACATTGTGTGTTCACTGTGTGCCGGATACTTTATTGATGCCACTACCACCACTGAGTGTCTTCATACATGTAAGTACAGAATGCATATATTATTAGAGAATGGAGACCCACCACTGAGTGTCTTCATACATGTAAGTATATATTAGAGAATGGAGACCCTGCATCTCTAAGTTTTATAAACCAATACCTGTAAGTTAAAATTGACCCCTATATATTTCATACCCGAGACTTTTAAGTAAATACACCCCTGTACCTGTAAGTTTTATATTTATCGTTTCATGGCATTGAGTGTCAATATATTTATAACCCAACCAAGCGTGTATGTCATTAATATATAGACTGTCCCAGGTGTTGACGTTCTCATTATTATGACATCATAAGTGTAATGTTAGATAGAACCTCCATGGTAGATGGCTGTTCTATTCATTGAACAACAAACATACACTATACAGATACTAATTTGAACTATATGTTGAATATTGTTAAGCAGATTATAATTTCTATGATTGTGATGATTGCTAGCAAGTCTGTGTCATTCATACAGACTGTAAATGCCATATTATCACTGAGTTCAATTCGTTAATGGCTCCCACACCTGTAAGTAGTATGGACCCCATACAGGTATAATTATTGATATTTTGCTTGCATGTAAGACCATCTCAGCAATGAAATAGCTTTAGTCATTTGTTACTGAATGTTTTCTCTAACTTCATTGTTGGAGTAGTGGACTAGAGTTTTTCAGTAGTTCTTGATTTCAATTTGTATCAGAGGTATTTGAGAAAATGAGTAATTGGTAACAGGTTATATCTAAGTACATGTATATAGCTTATATATTTGTTTCCTCTCATGGAATTCTGAAAGTCTAAAACATCTCTTAGATATATAATTCAATTTTTCATTACAGAATAATCTGACAGGGATTTAGATGCAGAACTCATAAAATTTACCAGTATGTGTTAGATGTAAAACATAGTTTCCATTGTACTTTGTGAAAAAAGGTTGTACTCGCAGGCATCTTTAGTTTTTATTAGCTCACCTGGCCCGAAGGGCCAAGTGAGCTTATGACATGGTGCGGCGTCCGGCGTCCGTCCGGCATCCTCCGTCCGGCGTCAACATTTTACTTTAAACAACTTCTTCTGAATAACCAAGAGGCCCAGGCTGATGATATTTGGCCAGTAGTATGCTTGGATGAAGGGCTACCAAGTTTGTTCAAATGAGTGACGTTGACCCACTTTCAAGGTCATAGGGGTCAAATATGTTAAAATCTTCAAACAACTTCTTCTCAATAACCAAAAAGCCCAGGGTACTGATATTGGGCCTGTGGCTGGCTGGGATGAAGGGCTACCAAGTTTGTTCAAATGAGTGACCCTGACCAACTTTCAAGGTCACTGGGGTCAAATGTCTTGAAATCTTCAAACAACTTCTTCTCAATAACCAAAAAGCCCAGGATACTGATATTGGGCTTGTTGCTGGCCTTGGATGAAGGGCTACCAAGTTTGTTCAAATGAATGACCTTGACCCACTTTCAAGGTCACATGGGTCAAATGTCTTAAAATCTTAAAACGACTTCTTCTCAATAACCAAAAGGCCCAGGGTACTGATATTGGGCCTGCAGCATGCTGGGATGAAGGGCTACCAAGTTTATTCAAATTAATTACCTTAACCAACTTTCAAGATCACAGGGGTCAAATGACAGTGACCCACTTTCAACATAATGTCCTTGTTAGACATTCAAAGTCACAGGCGTCATATGTTTAAATCTTTTAATAGGTTCTTATGAATCAAACACTGATATTCTGCCTTTAGCTGTATTTATTTTAGCCCGCTTTTAAGATTGCAAGTGTGAGATTAATACCAGGTTAGGGATGCAGGGCCATTGGGCCTCTTGTCTTAATCATACTTGTGTAGTGGAACTACCAGTGAGCTTATTTGGTAAAGTTTGGACATCCCAAGTACAAATCCTGGTCTGGTTGTGTATTTATCTTTCTCTCCTATTAAAATATGGTGCCCAACTAAATATATCCATGAAAGGTGTTAAAAGCGTCTCATTAACTTCGAGGTTGAAGACTTTATTGACGGATAGCGGAACTGGACTGGGTTGATCGTTGGGGAGCAGAATTCACTCAATTGGTTGGTGTGTCCATCTAGAGTTCAAAAGTTCTGGATTCCAATCCTGGACTGATACATGCATTTCTGTCCTGTTACATTTGTGTACATGACATCATAAATGATGATGAATATTTTGTCCTTTTCTTGGCAGTTTGCAAAAGTTGTATTGTTAAACACCTCCAAATGAGCAAGAGTTGTCCGCAATGTGGGAACAAAGTACACGAATCCCAGCCTTTGATCCACCTACGTGCTGACCGAACCATGCAAGACATAGTGTACAAACTGGTGCCTGACCTGTTTGAAAGTAAGTATGGTAAATGGTGTCTGAGCATTGTTAACTACTGTCAGTACTTACCAAATATTGGCTCAAGGTCATGACAACCGTTGAACCTTTATATTTTCTCTTCTCTCTTACATACCGTATTCGCCGTAATTAGCACCCAGGATGCTTTAAAAAAAAAATGGCTTTAAAAAGTGCGTGTATTGGGATGATAAAATGTGACCCATGATAGAAAAAGTTTCTACTGCAATTTCAACTAGTTGTTATCACCGAAGAACCGTATAAACATTCTAGGATGACTGGAGCTTTGAAAATAAAATTGTTCACCCACTTCATGCTTTAACTCATTCAGCCCTGAAGACACATTTGAACTCTTCCAATTCAAAGACTGGAATAGTTCTTTATAAAATTTCAGGGGTGAATGAGTTAAGGGAAGTTCAGCCATGATCACCATGCAGACAACAATTTCTGCTTTAAAGTGTAAGTACTAGATTTTGGAGGAGGTCTATATCATTTCAATTCCTCCTGAAAAAGGGGAAGGGATTCGTTTAGGGGGAGGAGCGCTTATTTTGGCAAATATGGCACTCTTTCTTCTCAAGGTTGAGGCTCTCTAGGAGTCTGTAGTTAGGCTTGCTGCCAGAATATTGTGACTGTGTAAGAGATCAAGCAACATGCCAGTAAGAGGCCATTTTACCTTTGGGTGTCCCTGTCCTATGTAGAGACCATCACTTTAACTGTTACAAAGATGGGAAACCCCCATAAATCTTCAAAGCCAAGGAACACTTTTATTATCTAATACTTCATTCTAGAATGTGTCTTTTTACTTGGCAAATTATTATTTGTTAATATGTGTCAAAGATAATAACAACATAATCTTTAATATTGTCATTACTTATATTCTATATTTTGTTTAGATGAAGAAAAAAGGAGAGAAGATTTCTACAAATCAAGAGGATTTGCAAAACAAAAGAAAGGTAGAAACATCTTACTAGGATATAATTTCAAAAAGAAAAAGAAGCCTTGTGTATTTTTACTGAATCATCATACAGCATTGCAGGATTCTTGTCCTCCTGATATGGACTCTAAAAGTAATTGTTTTGGTAAATATCCGAGTCATTGTTTTTGTTCCTATTAAATTGATCGGTAGTTGGTGTATAATATGTTCCTGCTTTTAATAATCAATTGTTCTTATCATCAGGGGTTGTTGTGGAAAAGAAAGCTGCTCCAAAATTGTCATGTATCCTGAACAACCCCAATGCCCACCAGTTTAAATATGACGAACAGATTGGACTTTGTCTTGAGCGATACAGGTAAGTCGCTATTGAATTACCTACTTATTCACCTGTCCGCAGCAATTAACAACTATCTGGAATGATACAGGTATATCACTTCACTGATACACCTGTATATACCTGGCTAATCAAGTGTCTGACCTTGGTAAAAGATTCACTTTATGAATTGTAGATGAAAAATACACTGTACTTATATGTTATTTCTTTATTTGGGTAATTATTCGAAATGATATTTAATTTGAGTATATGACAGGAAATATAGTCATTTAGTCCTGTCAATGAACTGAGAACTTTTGCTGTGAAATTATAACACATACTGCACTGTTAAGCAAATGTTTCTTTTCTCCCAAGGACTGACATGTTTTTAATAAATTTTTGTCTTCATTAATTTAAATTCATTTTCTTTTTCATCCATCTTTGTAGTATTCAGTCAATCCCGGTGAGTGGGGAGGCGTTTGACCTGAAGGTTCTGGAGAGGAAGTTCATACGGTGTTCGATACGAGTTCTCATAGCTCACTTAAAGAGGATCATCACCAAGAAACTCAGCATCCCTACGGGAGTGGAGGTAAGTTATAATCTGTATACCTACGGGAGTGGGGGTAAGTTATAATCTGTATACCTACGGGAGTGGAGGTAAGTTATAATCTGTATACCTA